GAGGGTTAAGTATTATATCTATAAACACGAACGGACAGTTGGAACATATCAATTTTGTTGTTATAAAAGATATATATGACACAAGAGGGAAATTATGTTAGTGTGTCATGACATGAGGATAGTTAGGTAGGTAGTATGTGGAAAATTGTTTGTTGAAGTTTTTTATATTTGAAATCAAATTTCATTAGCAAAAACTAAATCTGAATTTATAAAAACAATTTTAAAAACCGGTACCCTACGGGATTTTTGTTATATCATTAACCCACGACTCAATAGTTACAACAAGGAACTCCTTGTATATATACAGGTGCTATATACTGGGCCAATTTACATCCAGGCACAGGTGGGAAAATTGGGGGGCTGTCTGTTGGCACAAAGGCATTCAAACAACGAGCCAGCAAGTATGGCGGCCGCAGGTGTTAACTCCGCGGGCCGAGCAAACGATCCGCCCAAATCTCCTTGTTTGCGCATTTCATTTAACTTCTCGAGGTAAAGTTCATTATAAAGAATTCGGGTCGACCGCTTTCGACCGCTTCATGTTTAAACAATCTTCTTAATAGCTTAAAGTTAAGCTTCATTTGATGTTCGTTGAGATACTTTGTAGCTATAGGATTAATGCATGTATGTTATGACGATTTTAGACCTTTGATGCTGTGTTCATCCCGCAATTGATACATGGCTGGTAAACATCGTTTCTCTTTCCCAAATTGTGTTTCCACCGTAGGCACCAGAGCACTGTCGTCCGGGGCCTCACGATCGGAATAACTCAATTACGTTGAACACGCATGGCGGGCTAGAGTTCTTTCAATACAAGAAATAAATGAAATATTTTTGAGCCATTTCGGGCGGTATGGCGCCACGGCCGGGAAGCAGCGAGCGCGGCCGGCGCCGGCGCGCCCCCGGTCTCTCTCACGCGCCATCATTAATACAAAACAAACAAAAGTGACCTCTAGACGGGCGCGGGCGCGGACTCGGCTAACGAGATTCACAAACCGCCGGATAAAGCGGTAAATTATTGGAATGTTAACCGGACCGCGGCTGCGCGGTGGTCCGCCGGCGGCCGCACCAAAAAAACGTGTACGAGATGACAGCCAGCGCTGATGAGCCCACCTAATAATCGGGCCCGCAAAAACCACGCACGGCGCGAACAGGGCGCAAACGCGTCGCAACAGCCCTGTCGCACGATCGCTATTCCGACGTGAAAGAATCTACTTTGTAGCGGCCATCTTTAAAAGCCGACACACACTCGCTTTCGAGATTTAATTACAGAACGCTAATTACCGAATAATGCGGAGCGACGCGATGTTCGCTATCGATCGAACTTTCTTTTGGCGCATTCGTACGGCGAGTGACGCGGCGAATGCGCGCGCGACGCCCCAGGGCTGCCATTCGGCCATCGCGCGGGCCCCGCTGACAGGAAGGCGGAGGCGCCGAGCTCGCCAGCACTGTGTAATTTCTTCACTGCGCTCCACATTATCGATCGATGAAAAAAAATAATTGAAGGGGTACCGTCGTAAAGCAAACAAGCTTATAATAAGGTGTAATTTGTGCTCGGCCATTTAGAGAAATGCACAAATTGCCTACGAGGCAGCTGTTTGTTTTGTCTATGACGGAGGTCCGGGCTGCTCCCAAATCATCCGTTAACAAGCCCCGCGTCAGATTCGGCAGCCCTAATGGGTTTTGTTAAGTTTTTGTCGTAATTTATGACGAGTAATGTGTTTTCGTAAATTCGATTCACGGACAGCTGCATCGTTTAATCACTAGGCTGCGTGGCCGGCGAAGATCTTCCTGCACAAATTGTTGTTAGTATCCATATTTGTCTTTTAGGAACTTGTATTCATTATGTGACTGTTAATAACACTTGAGGATACTCATTTGCTTTGCCGAAATTATTAATACACAGAATTTGAAAATGAGTTTTTGTAATTGGTAAAGCTTCACATTATATTCATAATAATAATATATTTTATGCTGATTGCTCATTACCATTCTTTTAACCAGTATGTAGGTACAATCTAAATAAAATCTGAGCGCTTTTATCTTCCATCAGATTAAATGATTAATGTTACATAATGATAAAAACTTAAAAGAATGACTGGAAATGATAACACTAACCTGAGTTAAATAATTGAACCAAATCTAAACGATTATTTACAAGCTCAGAACTTGAAATGAATTTTCATAGAACTACTTAAGTATAATCAGCACCGCTTTGTTGAATAAATAGAAAAAGAATGTAATTTGAATATCGTTTTTTTGTCACGTTGACGCATCCAGTGTTCGGTCTCATGGTAATTTTCTGCCAAATTACGAGCCATTTGATGGGTCTACGTTAACACATAATTAACTTGTACCTAAAAAATTCACAGAAATGAGTTTTGATTTTTTTGTGAACAGTAGACAGAACCACCCACCCAATAATTTCCTTCAAATAATATTTGAAAAACACATAAAGCTTTTGCCTTTTTTGTTTCTTTTAAAAAGTTTTTAACAGATATTTTATTAACACTAGGTAGAATGGTGAAGTTTTTATTCCAACGTTTTTATTTATTTTTAGGTAATTGGGATTGTGAACTATTAATAAAGCAATATTAATCTACTGCTATAGATAACATGTTGATTTTATATAACTTGTAACATTATATAATGACTGTAATTTTTTGTCGAAAAACTGTAATGATGTTTTGGTTCATTAAACACAACAATTGCACACCTTTGGGTCATGATAATGTTGCAAAAAGGTTAACTAATGTTCGAAAGACCAATTAAAACTTTATCTTTTACGTAACCGTATTTGAATTAAGTTTTAGGTATTTCCCATGAAAATTTTCCGGTAGATGGATTTTAAAAGCTTAGCAATACTCGTACCTTATACACACCTTTTCAAAAAATTATTGTCATAAAGATTAAAGACATTATAGTAGTGCCCCTACCATAAAATATTGTTATGTAGGTATATTGTTAGTTAAAAAGTAAATTAATTGGTACAGCTTTTACTACCGACCATTTGCACTTATATGTAGTCGTACTCTTGAAATGAAAATTAAATAACCATATAAGGTCAGGTTATTATATATACATTTTCATTCTTAAAATATTTCAGAGTATTTCTGTGACGAATGGTTTGATAGACTATTAAATAAAATTGTTTCGCCTTAATCGCTTCATAGAGAAATAATAAGTATTATATCTGATAAACATGAAATAAAAATAGCATTTAAAAATATAAATTTGCAAATATGTACCTATTTTTTTACATACATAATTATTATATTTTGATGTGTATTTTACCAAATTACTGATCAAATATCATTAAATGAAATCTACAATCTTCAGAGTGCTTTGAATATGGATCTAGAAATATATTGTAGATCATAGCGGCACGTAGGTACTTATAGGAATGCTTTGTATTTTAAACCCTACAAAGTACACGTTTTAACAAACTTCCTTTGCTCGTTTTCTAATTAATAAAAATTACACACTTAACACTTTGACCCCATTAATAGTATAAGTGTAATCTCTGTGGTGTATATGACACTGTCGAAACTTCTCAATGGTGCAGATGATACTATCTGTACCCGTAGCACGAACCAATATCGAATTCGTATCGTTTGCGAGTACGAAATGTCATTGTCAAATGTGTACTGATTTTTAGTTGTGTATGGAAATTGAACACTATTAATGGTGCAAACAAAATAATCAGGTTCATTTGCACAATTAATGGTGCAAGTCAATGATGCATTCGGTACAACATCATGTATGTTTAAAAAACTAATTTATTAATAAATCATTTAGCTAGCAATTCAGAGACAACGCTGATACTCGGTATGAGCTACAGTCTAGAAAAATCAACAAGTCTGTTAAGCATCTCGTTAATTTGCAAAAGGTATAATGGATTCTAACAACTTCTAATTCTGATACTTGACCCAAGTTGCTCCTTTTCCCTACAGATTCTTCAGAAATTAAAATCTAACAGTAAATGTTTTCAGCATGAATATGTTGACGACCTCCATGGTGTAATGGTATGTTCACTTCTTGATCGATTTTCAAGGAGTCGCCTAATCAACCAGAGGTACTGGGTACGAATTCATCTTGATGTGTTAAATGTTTGTATGATAAAAAAAACAAGCATTTGTACCTAAGTCATGGCTATTATATTTATAGAAAAAAACTTATATTTATACTTATATTATTTCTACCCTTTACCCTACCTAGTTTCTCATAACAAAAGCCTTACAGCTTAATTTACTTTGGGGCTGGGCTGATTCATGTAAGTGTGGGAAATAATTATTTATTGATTTTATTACCTTATTATATATTTAATGTTAATTACCATACTCCTTCGGAACGTCTTGACGTCATATTGAGTAGGTCTTAAAGAATTGTCCACTCCTAACATTGTTTTTTATTTTTTGGACATTTTTTTCTTTTTTTAAACTTTGACATTATAAATACATACATCCCTAAATTTTCCCCCTTCTACCACCAGCCCCTATTTTTATGGTGGTACGAAGTTCGCTGGGTCAGCTAGTTATTTATATTTATAACTTTAAAACAGTTATCTGGATTACTAAATTGTTTACTAAATAGTACACAAAATTGGGTTGATTACCTGAGACACAGGATCCATCCTAGTTCAGGTGTCAACCCACCACAGTCTGATCAATACTTACCTGTTTTATTTTTGGTAAAAAATAGCATGTTTTTATTTCATTGTCTTTATGTTGCCATTAATACCTACATTGTGAACATTATGATTTTGGTAAGAAGTAAAGGTTATTATTATTAATGTATTATTTTTGAGTGTGTATGCTGTTGGTCGCAGATGACCTTTACAGCGTCACCGGGTTTGGGGACGGCGAGATCCTAAGGAGACCTCGAGCCGAGAATTGGCGAGTGCCTCTTGAGATATTCCAGGCAGATGGCATCTCCTTGCGGGGGGAGTCTCCTCTCCGTCCGGAGCCTCTGGACCAGTCGAATTGTTATAGTAGCATACATACCTGCCCCCTTTGGTGATGATCATCTCCGTGCCGATGTCGTGGAAGCGTCGCCAGAGGTCGCCGTTGAGGAGGCGCGCCTCGCACACCGGTGGCTCCGCGTCCGCACCCACCCGATGCTCTGTCAACATACACATTCATCATCATCATCATCAGCCAATTAATGTCCCCACTGCTGGGGCACAGGACTTCCCCATGGATGGAATAGGGAGATTGGGCCATGACCCACCACACGGACCCAGTGCGGATTGGCGGGTATATATACATTACATACCCGCTAACATTACATGGGTACATTCATCATCATTAGCCCATAATTTGACGACCTCCGTGGCCGACCGGTATGTACACCGGATTTCAAGGTGTCACCTACTCGAGAGGTCCCGGGTTCGAATCCTGGTGGTGCCAGATGTTTGTGTGATGAATACGCACATTTGTACTCCAGTCGTGGATGTTTAATATGTATTTCTATATAAATATGCTTATACGAGTATATGTATCAGTTCTATATTCTATCCGTTACCTTTGTATCCCATAGCATAAACCTAAAGTGCTTACTTTGGGGCTAGACTAATTGGTGTGAGTGTTGGAAATATTTCATTTTATTTAATGTCCCCACTGCTGAGGCTCCAGCCTTTACTATGGATGAATAGGGAGAATAGCTCATGACCCATTACGTGGGCCACATGCGAACGACTAGACTGCCAATCGAATCTCAGGAAGTGGCATTTATTTATGTGATTGGCATAAAAATTTGTTCACGAATCAAAATTATTTTGATCATAATTATGGCATGAATTCTATGCGGTTTAGTTCTACTTAGTTTGAGACTAAAAATTTATGAGTAACTAAAATGTTGTGAGTTGTCTTGAATAAAAAAAAATCTCTCTTAATCGTGAAAACAGTCGCGTGTTTTTATTTTCTAACTTCAAGTACTCACGTTCAAATATTTTCAGAACATAATGTCAATCTAAATTCACAATAATTAATCCGCAGAAAAGCACCACTGCTTGTCTCATTGATGGAATGTAGTGCCGTTGAGAAATATTTAGGAGTTACACCATCCATCATACCATTCGGCGACACACCTAAACGAGCCAACGTTTAGTAATTAGTGTGGTGCTCATCTCAATAGTTATTGATAATTTACATCTTCCTTAATACATTCACCTATATAAAACCACTTTGATCAAAGATGCCGCCCGCAAAATTTATCGCAACCGTACACATATAAGATTTTAGTGTGTACACCTTGCGAGAGTAATTTATATATGCAATCATGTATTCATTACTATTGAATATGTAAATCAACATATGATTTATCAACGTTTAAAGTAATTGATTGGTTGGTTGCGTGCGCATCTCAATACGGCGGCGTCTCCGATACAAGGACAGTCTAATCACATGCAATTTATTAATTAATTATCAAACTAGAACTAGACGTAAGAAAGATTAGAAAATAATCTAACTAGACTTTTTTGTTTTTGTATAACTGAGTTTGTTAATTTAACATATATTGTTATAGTAGCATGTACCTACTAATTTATCTAATCTAAATAAGCTTTAACTTAGAAGAAGTACACATTAAACTTGGATTATAATATTCAAAATTTGTATTCTTTGTAGATTTGAAAAAATTCAATACCTATATATTTTGGTAAATGAGGGGCAATGCGATCGTTGCAGTTAAACAACTTTCGCAGTGGTCGGCCATTGGATGGGTGACCAAAAACATAATATCTCGAGCTCCTCTGTGCTTTGGAAGGCACAGTAAGCCGTTGACCCCGGCTGTATCTGCAGTCGTTAGCACCCACCAGTCTCCCTATTTCATCCATAGAGAAGGCCTGTCCCAAGTAGTGGGGGATATGAATTACATGATGATGACACATCTATCTATCAACACAGCTCTAACCACTGAACGAATTGCGCTGAAAAAGGAAGGATTTTTCAAAATTTGCCGCTCTATAAATTAAAATAGAGGATAAAACTTTGTATGAAACTTCTACAATTTTGAAGATAGAAATCTGAAAAATGGTGAATAAGCTTATGGTATGCTTTTTGAAGATATCATCTCAAAAGGGATTGAAAAACGTAAATATATTTCAAATTTCTGCCGACTATCATTATATCTGCCAAACTGTGTTGCAGTTTGCCAGATATAATGTAATTTTTTATGTAATTTTATTTGCTGAATAAATAAAAAAAAAACTTCAGCCCCAAACTGGAGATGAAGATCGTAACGTACATTGCAAAACCGCAGGCGCAAAACTAGTAGTTAGTAGACTATGTATAGGTAAGATATAAATAAAAAATATTTCTAATAGAAAAAAATAGACAGCATCATATAAACAGCCTTCTTACGACTTGGCTATATGATTTGCATTGTTATTTTTTTTCAAGTGGCCAATAATATACAGTAGTGAGAAATCAGCTTTTAATTTACAGTTTAGTTAGCAAACGCTTATCAACGAACAGGGCATATTCGGAAACTATTGTAGCTGATAGGCTGAAAACATTTCACCTTTAATAATATTAATAATAATATATTCACAAAAGATTTGGTTTACAATAGTTAGTGGCAGGAGTCCCCTTTTAAGCAAATTGTGCCAGGTGACTCCGCTCCTCCATTAATAGTAGTAATACATGTATATATATATATATTACTACTATTGCTTCTGAACATCTGATAGGTACACGTCATATGTTGCGCTGTAGCTATGTGAATGATATATTGTTATAAACTTTCATGGTCACTAACATTTTAGTAAATTATATTAAAATACGTGGAACCTACATAATTGTACTAATATTAAAGTCTACATTTCTTGTTGCGAACTACTCTAACAACTGATTGTCACATTTGTTTCATCACAATGCCTCTTTATATACCTAAGTTTAATAAAATCTTATTCATTCTTTCAATTACAATATTTTTATCATGTTTAATTATTCAGTGTCGTTGCACGCTCGTTTAACACGATTACGGCTAGATTTTTTTTAATAAGTTCTTATCTCCCTTAATTTACTTTAGAAATTTAATAAACAAATACAGTTAGATATGAAAAAAAATTAATAAGCATTTTTTAAATATAATTGCTTGCTATTAAAAAAAGTATGGATACAGCAGATGGTTAAAAAATACTATTTTAGGTATATAATGGCAAACAATGCTTCTAGCCGACAGCTATAAAGTTAGATATATTTTTTTAATTGAATAAGTACCTATTGTTCGTCGTTATACGTTAAACATGTCTCAGAATAATAGCCCATAAAATTTCAAATTTTTGTTAAAAACAAGATTTTCTTTTCTAAAATGAGTAGGTTACTAAAATTATGTTTTTGAAATGATTTCGCGTTAGAATAAAAATATAAGCAAATTTAATAGGAAAAGGCGACGACATGAATATATAGGGAACTTTTACAGAAAAACTAACACTGCAAATTTAAAAACGTACCTATATTAATAGGAATTATATACAATTAAATAAGGTTTTTTTATATAAAAATATAAAGTTGCTAAGCGGCAATATGAAAATAGCAGTAAACATTTTCGTGCGTTCTTTGAAAAGACTTCAACGCGTGCAAGCACCTACAACTACTTGAGGTAGGTAATAAAGTGACTCGTATGACCCCACATTACATATATTACATAACACTGCATCAAAGAAGCATTGGTACAAGATATATATAATGCTTATTGAAAGCTTTTTTACAATACAGTGAATTTAAATGAAATGAAATTACACTTTATTCAAATTGACTTATTGAAAGCTTTTTTTGAATGGTCCAATATTTTTTTCAGATTTTCCCTTTTAACTGATGAGAATAGTGGGCGCAAGAAACTCATCAGTGTAAGCAGTATAGTATTATAGAATAAACTTATATTAAGTACTAGTGGCTGCCTGCAACTTCGTCTGTCTGGAAACATTAGTTTCTCATACAAATTTTGAACACCCGTTAAACCCCTTTAGAAGGTGAGTTCCGGAAAATCCTTGTTTGCGTGCTTTAATCATAATAAGCTTTAGAGTGCCAAATTTCAGAGCAACCCGTCCAGTGGTTTGAGCTGTGCGTTGTTCGACTGGTCAGTCAGTGCCGGGTGCCTTTTATATATTTATCGATAAGTACTTACTATCTTCATCGAAGAGTAAGTAGGAGGTGTACCTACCTATGGTATTTCTTCATCTTTCTTCAAGTTAAAACTATTATAGGTCAGTCATCATAAGCTACATTTAAAGCTTGTTAAAACAAACCTTTGTTTTAACAAGCTTTAAATATGGAATCCATCCATTTAATTACTAATTCCCTAAATAAAAGTATCGACAACAACCATGACAGCTAAAAGAAAAAAACATTAAAGAAAGAAAAATACCTTGTCTCTAATTTCAACAGTAATTTTTGCAAATATCTAGGAGATAAGTTAAATTTGCAACCAGGTCAAGGGCAACTTACGTAATCCACTAAGCGAAGCCGCATGCAACATCTGCTGCCTCAGCAAATACTCTCCGAAATGTGCCTGATCCATCATCATCTTGCCAAATATCTTCCTTCAAAACAAACACTGAACAAGTCACTTGTGTGTCACTTCACAACAACATTTTCCAAAAATACGCAATAGTCAATTTTACAGCTCATACAAAAAGTTTATAACACTAAAGGTTTATACAAAGTTCTTAGCACAAATGCAATATAGCAGACTTCTGATAATAACAAACATGTAATTTGTAAGAATGAAGACGTCAGACGTGACAGTCGAACGGCGGTTGCGTTTACACTGAATCGGTGTGCAGTCGCAGGCGGCGCGTGCGCATGGCTCCGCCCCTTCTCGCTGATTGGCCATCGAACGACTAATGGCGGTCGACGTGAAAGCCTCGAGGAGTACGAATGCTTTTCTCGGCTCGCCGCCCGCCTTTAAGGTGACAGGTGAAAAAAGTATCAAACCAGATTGACGTTCTATTCAGTGCGTGGGCGCCGATATCGATGAAAGACCATTGTTGTAATGGATTGAACATCGTCTATATTAACATGCGACGACGAATTGATACGTTGGGAGAATTACTATTGTGTATTTCTCTAGCGTATCATACTATTGTAGTTATTCCTACGGAATTGATGTTGCCTAATGTCAAATGTTAAAACTGTTATGTTTATCTGACATAGATTATGTGAGGTTGCAAAATAAGTAGCAACTGATTATTTTTTTACGCAAAATGAACTGGACGGGTTTATGATTCAAAATGTCTATTCATGTTTGTGTTCCACGATAGGGGCTAAACTAAGTATATACCTAACCATTAAAACCGATTTTGATTAACGAGATAGATAATTAAAGTTGCAAGTTTTTTATTTTTTAAGAACATTTAAATGTAAGCAAACAATTTGCCGATATATGAGCTACAGGTTCACGTACCATCCTATCTCGAATATAATCGACTGTTTGAATATTTTTCCTATTGTCCAACCCATCGCACAGCCATCCCTACAACATGCAAACCAGCTGTTTTATTATTAACCGGCATTCATATATTTCCGTCATCAGAAACGTTACGAGAACCTCTCCTAGCTCCAATTCAAAAGACTGACGATTTGGACGCAACCAATGCAATCCCTATCCGGGCGAATGCACTGACCATTATGCTACCGCGGCCCTGACGGCCGCGTCCAATTCTTTCTAGCATTTCTTAAGCTGCAAGGCAGTGAAGGATGCGGGTTCGAGTCCCGTCTGTTGTCTGGTCTGCGTGGATTATTTTCTTTAGATATAAACATCGAGCAGTTACATGCTTAAAAAATAAAAATTATTACCATATTTGCTATTTCTTCTTTCAAATTTTTAAATACTTGTAAAGGTATTAATTTGACATTGTGGGTTACCTACAATGCGAAGAGATGGCGCTGCCTTGCAGCTATCGCCTGGATAGCGAAGGGTGCGGGTTCGAGTCCCGTCTGCTGCCTGGTCCGCGTGGAATTGTTTCTAGTAATATACTTCGCTTAATGAGGCGTATACAGCATTAAGGGGGACGTTACCTCTTTCAAGATTGAATTACGCAAAAGCACAAATCACAACTAAGTTTAAAAATATGACGCATACCTACATTTATCGCATACCCATTTCTTATCGTTTTACATTCTGTAGGTACCAATGTCCTGTCCTCATAACAAAGCATTTTACCAAAGATCGTTGTACAATCGTATGAGTTTGCTCGATTATACTGACTCAGAGCACTGGATCTCATCTAAATACATACTAGATGTATGCAAAAAAGAATCATAGCGGGTTTTCCACTCGAATTAATCACACTAATATTATAAAGGCGAAAGTTTGTGAGTATATGTGTATGTTTGTTACTTCTTCACGTCTAAACGGTTGGAGCGGTTTTAATAAAATTTGGTATGGAGTTAGCAGACACCCTAGATTAACACATAGGCTACTTTTATCCCGAAAAAATGTTAGGTTCCAGAGGGATTTTCAAGAAACTAAGTTAACGCAGACGAAGTCGCGGGCGACCTCTAGTAATAATAATAAATTTGACGACCTCCGTGGCCGAGTAGTTTGTACGCCGGGTTTCATGGTGTCGTCGCCACCTTCCAAGACACTCTTCCGTACAATTTTGGCTCACATAGTCTCCGTCTAATTGTTCTTGCAGACACACCCTTAGACCCTCCCGCACCAAACAACTCCGAATGTATCAATTCTGATCCCTTGAACGGATCTGTTTTTGCCAACAACACCATCTTAGAGTCTTCCCGCAGAGTAATTTTTCTTGGTACGTTTTCGGTCGTGTTGAACTTCTTGAAATAGCATTCATAACCATGTCCTTTATAGCATTCATAACCATGTCCTTTATAGCATTCATAACCATAGTTCAAGTGGTTTGCTATTTTTCTGTATGACCAATCTTTATTATGAAAGTTGAAAATAATCTTCATAGTGGACGAATCGCTACTCTTGTTTTTTCCCATATTGCTGGGTTTAAAACGTATTAATTTTAATTAAAAAAATAGGTTTTATATGTATATCGACAACAGGACAACGGCAAAACAAAGAAAAACAGAATGCAGTTTTTTCTTTATTTTTTTTTAATTCAGAACACAGCTTTTACTATCTTTAATTAGCTGATTAGCTACAAGTATGTTAAAAAAGTTTGTGTTATGTTCCCATAGTGAGCAATGCCTAAACTACTAACGAACACAACTATTTTTTGTCTCACATTGGAAGAATACAACGTCGTGTATAGTTTAATAACAATTACACTAGATTAAATAACAATTTTAGCTAATTTTAGTACCATAAATTAGGTTTTTGTGTGTTAGGGAGTGTTTTTAATTATGTGTCCACCACTGTATATATATCTTTATTCAATATCGATTATTACATACATTTATATGAGTCATTTGACTTAAATGAATTAGAGCGCCCTTCTGGACAAGTAAGTCCACCTTCCTATTGGTGGTGTTGTTTTGTCGGTAAGTAGTTTCCATGACTCCAGGAGTTACAAGACGGGGTTCAGGATGGGCAACCACGAAGTTTTGCTCTGATATCGTTAAAAAAGCTGATTATTTTTTGCTGCATTAACTTTTTGCTTGTAAGTAGATAATACAAGAGGATTTAGCTTTGTTGCGAGAGGATAAAGAAAATATTTCTTTCCCACACACTACAAGGCCTAACTAGTGATGTCAAATGAAGAAAAAAAATCAACTTTGTATATGAAATTAGGACCGTAGTTTTTTTCCTAAATTTGTTTTTTTTTTCATGGAAACAATCTTTGAAATGTAAATTTTGTCTGATTTCATACATATAGCTTTAAAAATTTATATCGTTCACCCGCGCCGCGCCCTGTTAACTGCGTTCGCACTTCAAATAAACATAAGCCGAACAGGGATTTCGAGGATTTCCCGAACGTTGCTCGTGAGTGGTGTCAATTGTTGAAAGTTTAGTTGGTAATTTTAATCATAAAAGTGTGGTATTCAAAATACTTAAACAGAAAACTTTTATATAAACTTATAAGCATTATTATTTAAGAGTAACTTATTTATTAATTTGGAATTCTGTGAAAAAAACACGTTTTATTCATTTTACAGTTTTGACATCGTGGGGTGAAGTCATTTGTCGGACCTATCTATAAAAAAAATTAAAGAGTTTTTACGATTGAAAATAAAGAAGTCAAATTCGGTGATAATTTACAAGTCCGTCATAGCTGCCACATAGATTAAATGCTTGCCTACTCTACCTTACACTAATATTACAAATCTTTAAAATATGTGACACTCTTATCAAGTCTTTTATTGCTAAAACGATGTGAACTCGTCACGACCTAATCACCGGATGTGAAAATGCTTACTGGCATTGTTTACTTGTGCCTGCGCAACCGCGTCATGCCGCACTATAATAATCTGCGAACCGATAAAGATTACTCATCATAAGTCACTTTAAGTTTGTTTAAGCACGGATTATCGGGTCATTTTGAAGGCAAGTTATTATTCCTTGTTCACAAATTCACAATGATATCTTGCTCTATATTCATCGTTTATCATTAGAAAGCTTTTGTACCTTGAAACAAGCGATTTCCAAATTGTGTATCGTTTCGATAAATTATAATAATATATATATATATATATAATATTTTTTTTATATTTCTAACACACACCAATATAATCTTTATTTACAATACTAAAGCGTACAAATTGGTACATACCAAATAATAAATAAATAAATGTTTCCAACACTCACACCAATTAGCCTAGCCCCAAAGTAAGGCTTGTGTTATGGGATAACTAGGGTAACGGATAGAATACATATACTGTACATACATAAGTATATTTATATACAAATACATATTAAACATGCATGACTGGAGTACAAATGATTGTATTCATCACACAAACATGTGCCCTCACCGAGATTTGAACCCGGGACCTGTCGAGACGGCGACACCACTCGGCCACGGAGGTCGTCAATAAATAAATAAGTATTTTTCATGGTTCCATTAGAATAGTTACTTTCGGGGTTTGCTTCCATCTCAACATAACTCGTGTACCATGATGAGAAGCTCGATTATAATTAATACATTGTTTAGCGAATACAGCCAGTCAAACGATGGGTAAAAATAAAAATCTTTATTTTATTTATATATAACCTTTATTGCGTTTACATGCAAACCAGTCCCACACATCCAGGGGTATATTACTTCACTTGGGCAGTAACCCCGAGTTTTACCGCGGTAGCGATCGAGAACCGTAGGTTTGCAATAATGGCTTCAAACACTGAATAAAGCACCACGTACCTTGAGCTGAGTAGACGGCTTCTTGGATGTCAGCGGCACAAAGTGACGAAAGGTGTAAAACTGGAGGAATTTAGGAATTTTGTGTCCGCCCGCGGGTTTCTCACTATAGCTGTTCGTGGTAGTCATGTCAGTGTTGAGCAGCAGGTTTCTTCAACGAAAGGACGTGAATCGTGGATGCAGCATTGGAAATCAGCAAATTGTTTATACGGACAGGAAGTGATTGGGAGAACTCCCATGGTGAATAGGTATAAGTATATGATTTGCGACCTATCAAAGGTTTTGATTGCGTTTTTCATAAAACTTCACCATAAAAGAGACGGGTAAATTTCCCAAGCACGTTTTAGACTAGGCGGAGTTGAAAATCTCTGTGCAAAGTGGCACTAGCATTATATTATTTTTATATATAAATAGTTTAAAGTTGTGCTCTACCAGGCATCAAATCGACTGGCCCGTATTATAGAAAGACTAGCAAACCAGTGAACCAAAT